GAAGAAAGGCGATGGAAGATTGCACTCGCCTACAATCTCGTTCATGCTGTGATGGATTGGCACGAAGCAGGATCGCTGGAAGAACGGGTAAACAGGGGCATTTGTGTGCTGTGGAGGAGGCCACGCCCAGAGGAGCAAGAGGAGGCAGGCGAGGACGCTGATGTGCGCGATGATGTCGAGCTGCCCGACCTGGACAATGACCGGGGAGCCGACTCTAGGGAAACCAACACGCCCGCTAACGACTCCGAATCTGAGGACGACAGTGACGATGAAGGGGACAAGGAGAGGGCTGGTGTCTATGATCCGCTCGCTCCAGAGAACCTGGCACGGGACGCGGCTGAGGAGTGCACCAACCATGATCCTGGTCGGACTTCCTTCAAGGTTGGTCCTACCGAACTGAGACCCAAGACCGAAGACGATGATGATCTTTCTGCCTTACGTCTGCCTGAGAGTTCTACTCGGCGAAATCAGACCAACAGCGACGCGTTGTCTTCGCAGAAGAATGGACAGTCTCACATCGACGCTAAGCCGGAGGAAGGTGGTGGGGTTGGTAAGCAAGGACTCAAGTCAATCTCGAGGGACCCTACGTTGGCTGCACCGGCCTCGAAGTCCAAGGCGAGGCGCGATGCTAATACTTATGGACCGTTACGCGACCAGATCCTGAGCCTTGACCTGGACAAGCTGGTCCTTGATCTTGACGACGTTGAGCTCGTGAAAGGCATGGCTGAACTCTCGACCGAGGAGAACCCACATTCGAGTCACACTGCTCCCCTCCCTCCCGCCGACCTCTCATCTATCTTCCCTGAACTTACACCGTACGGTATGCTGGAGCCAGTGACAGAATTCCCCGTCGACAGAAAGAAGTCTGACAAACAAAGGTTGGACAAAGACGACCCAACCAAACGTATCGACGATACATTGTACAGCAAGTTGACGCCCATGAGCGACTTCATGCTACAAAAGCCCACTTTGGTTGGTGCTCTTCAGCCATCATTGCACTGGAGTGGCGACCACTGGGAGCATATCGAGGAGATGCCAGTGACTATTGACTATGGCTCCCCAATGTCTCGGACAGTCGATAATACCTCTTGCGGTAAGTAACTCTCCGTCTAGTGGCGTCATAATCATCTCAACGTCTTCAGATCTTTTCGAGGGCCCGAAAGCCGGCTCTCCCTCTGCGCACTCATCGCTACTTCCTCATGGGTCCAAGGACGCTCGCAGACGTGCCGCCGACATCATGTGGACCCCGCAAGACGATGCGTTGTTGAAGCAATTGGCAGGCATGTATTCGAACAACTGGGCTCTGATCACGGATGCGTTCAATTCATCCCGGGTAACGATCGCCACGGACAGGAGGAGCGTTGCGGACTGCTTGGATCGCTGGAACACGCGATGGGGCAGATCTGACGCTGGTACTGACGATACCCGCACACAGGCCACCTCGGCGCCGACTCAGATGACGACGCGGTACAAGCGTGCAGCGAGCAACGCAGCAGCTTCGCTCGCTGCAAACGCGGCCGCCTCGACAGGCGTGGACGCGAAGAAGCGAAGGCACAATCTTATGCATGATGCTATACGGAAGGCCATGAAGAAGAAAGAGGCCGCAGCAAAACAGAATGGTGCGACCTCTTCCCGTGTCGTGTCTACGTCCACAAAATGAACATATCGTGCAGCAACGCAACGCAAGCCTGCAGCCGTGCACGATACTCATGGCCAATACAACAAGCTGCCTAGGTATACGCCTGCGGAACTCAGTCGTATGAAACATGAAAAAGAGGCACGCGAACAACCCAAACTCATGATGCGTAAGAATGACCTAATCACCCGTCAACAGACCCTTATACGAGAGCAAGCGCAACAGCGACAGCAGGTCAGTCATAATCGGAGTCTCCGTGTGCAGTCTGAAGTATTCCTGACTGTTTGGCGTTTAACATTCTAGGCACAACTGCTTCAGCAGCAGCAGCAGCAACAACAACAACAACAACAACAACAGCCAGGGCAGCAACAGCAGGCGCAACAGCCACCTTCCAACGGGACGCCTAGGCCTGTCGCAAATGGAATACCGCAACAGCAAGCATCTCAAGTCCCGCAGATCCGGACGCAAGTCGGTATATCCCAACAACAACGGCTATCCAACCCTATGGCCCTGGGAAACAGCCGTCTCTCGCCGACACAGCTGATGCAGGCTCAAGTGCAGGCGCAGGCGCAAGCTCAAGCGCAGGCGCAGGCGCAAGCTCAAGCGCAGGCGCAGGCGCAAGCTCGTGCACAGGCCCTCGCACAAGCGCAAGCCCAGGCAGCCTCGAGTGCGATGAATAACGCGCACCTCTCGCCGCCGTATGCTGCGCGTGCTACGAGCTCCTCGCCGGCGATCCCCCAACAGGCGTCGCCGCCGCACGTAGCCGCGACACCCGCGAACGGCGCGAGCGCGAGCTCCTCACGCCCATCGTCAACGCAGCCACACGCGGGGATGGCGCAGCAGCCGCAGGGCGTCGGCGTGCCGCGCCAGACGAGCTTGGGCTACTACAATATCCCGACGCTGCATAATGCGCAGTTCACGCAGGAGCAGCAGATGGAGCATACGATGCAGCTGCAAAATCTGTTGAGGGTGAGTGCATGAGTCACTTGGGAGCGATGGTTTTCTGACGAGGGGGGTGGCAGAACGCGGCGAATATGACCCAGAATGCGCAGAGCGGCGCGTACCAGCAGCAGCAGTGATCGTTCATCGTGTCCTGTCGCGTCTGTATCTTTATTGTACGCATACTTGGAATAGTAATGTCTTCCGGATCTCTGTTTGTTTCCCGGCACACAATATAACGCTTCGAAACGGACCATGCGCGCGAGCGTCTCCGAATTGCGGCGAGGAAGCTGAACGCTCCGAAACGTCCGTTCGACAAGTCCGGGGCATGACGCACCTCTACGACGACGATGTCCGCGATTGCTACATAGATAGCCTCAGCCTCTGTGAACGGTCTGATTGAGTTGCGATCTCCCGATAGTGGTCCGACGGACATGTGCATGCGCAGACACTTCGCGCTTCTATTCGTACCGAGCCCAACGGGATACTAACCCGGATAATCGCCACACGCCTTGCCTCCGTGGCAGTCAAAATAATCCACCCAGACCAAGCCGGGTTCATGCCAGGACGACGAATAACCGACCAAACGCAACTGTGCAGAGTCATGATAAGCTACGCAGAAGCAACGGAAGAAAACGGCGTAATAGTCGCCCTAGATCAAGAGAAAGCGTACGATAAGATCAAGCACGACTACCTGTGGCGAGTGCTAGAGGCTTTCGGCCTCCCCAAGAAGCTGATAGACATGATCAAGCACCTATACAAGCACGCTAAGACAGTCGTTATGATAAACGGAGAAAGGAGCTTACCCTACGACGTAATACGGGGAGTACGCCAAGGCGACCCCTTATCCTGCCTGCTCTTCAACCTAGCCATCGAGCCCCTAGCGTGCATGCTAAGAAAATCGAGGCTCAAGGGCTTCCAAATACCAGGAGCGGCAGAACACCTGATCGCGTCGCTCTTCGCGGACGACACGTCCACCTTCCTGTCCCAAGACGACACATGGACAGACCTGTGGGCGGTACTTGATGAATGGTGTATGGCGTCAGGAGCTCGCTTTAACCGAGACAAAACCGAAGTCATACCAATAGGCACCCCCACGTACCGGAACGACGTGATTCAAACCAGGCGCATAAACAAGACACGGGAGGAATCCGAGATACCAAGCTCCATATCAATCGCAGAAGACGGAGAAGCGACACGCATACTGGGAGCGTGGATAGGCAATGGAGTGGATGAAGCCGCCATATGGACGCCGGCACTTCAAAAAACACAAGCATTCCTAGATAGATGGGGGAAATGCCACCCCACCCTGACCGGAAAACGCCATATAATCCAAATGGGCCCGGGAGGAATAACACAATACCTAACAATGGTTCAAGGCATGCCGAAAGCAGCGGAGACAACACTCACCAAAATGATAAGAGCCTTCATATGGGGGGCCCACAAATCACCACCCATAAACCTCGAAACCCTACACAGACCAACCGAGGAAGGCGGCCTTGGCATCCTTGACATTGCGGCACGGAACGAAGCGATCGAGCTCCGGTGGGTCCAAAGGTACCTGACCCTAAACGAGGACAGGCCAAGATGGGCCTTCGCAGTGGACACTCTGCTAGCGATCCACGTCACAAAGGACTCAGGAGCAATTAAGAGGAACGCACAGATAAACACCTTCCTGCAGGACTGGCACCCATCCAGCCACGCCGCCTCAAACCTGCCCCTCTACCTACGAAGAATGCTGTTAGTAGCCAAGAAACACAATGCGTCATTCGCAGCCATCAAGCTAGACAACAAACAGAAAGCCCAGTTGCCTGCCTGGTACCATATCAGCGCAGACAAGCAACTACGACGAAAAAACAACACGAGACTAAGCGACTGCTTAAGAGACCGTCACGGAGTCCGAACAGTAGCTGACCTGCTGAACGCGAGACGACACGAAGCATACATACAGGGAGAGCCGGGATCGGTAGTTGGAAAAGCATGTCTATGCGCCCTATGTGAACAAGACAGGATATCCGGATGTCCGGACCCGCTGAGATGCAGAGAAGCCGCGGCGCGGCTCCTAGACCTACTGAAGCCCAAATGGAACCCTGAGCATAACAGCACGCCGGACGGTTTGACGTTGACACAACAAAGGCGAGACTTAAACACCAAAGCCCTTGAGAAAGGAGGAGAGGTCACCTTCGACCCCTCACTCACACTGCAAGGTGGAATATCAGAAGCCTTCCGCGTATTCGTAGAAACACCCACAATCAACAACCCACCGGCCATACGCCCAAGGCGAGGACGAGTGGTGGACGACGAACGAGACACGGTATACGTCCTCGGATCCCGAGAGGCGGCGGGAGACGATACACAAAGGAAACCGGGACGAGATGGAACCGGATACGCGCACTTCCCAAGAGACACCACGAGGAACGCGTGGGTGTCAGCCCAAACACCGGACACGCAACGAACAACGGAATCGGGCGAGATCACAGCTGCGCTTTACGCAGTGAAGACGGCCCCCATCGACGCACCCCTGCACCTAATAGGCGAAACGAACGCACTAAGCGACAACCTGGTGAAAGACCTTCAGAAGTGGGAGAATCGCGGGTGGATAGAGGTCCCAAACGCCCCACTGCTGCGAGCCGTCACGGCAACTATACGAAAACGATGCGCAGTAACAACCTTCAGTAAAGCGGCAACAGAGGACGACTGGAAGCAAATGGAAAAAGCCCGGGACAAAGCAAAGGCCGCACGGCAGGGAACACAGCCCGACGCGATCGAGACCCAGATAGACCCAGTGTTCAACGTATCCGGAGCAAGACTCGACCTGATGACGCAGAGATTAGCATATCGGGGAATACGTGAAAGAAAACAGACAACGGAACGCCGAGGCACTGCAGCGAACATCAGCAAGATAAAGAACAGCCTAAGAGAGCGGACAGGGGAAGAACACCATGAAGCCGACATCTGGCGAAGCATACGGTCAAAAGACATAAGAAGACAAGTCGGAGACTTCCTGTGGAAAAGCATCCACGAGGCCCATAGGTGCGGCACCTACTGGAAAAAGATCCCAGGATATGAGGACCGGGGCACGTGCAGAACGTGCGGCACGACAGACACCCTGGAGCACATACTGACAGAGTGCCGAGCACCCGGGAGGCGTGAGATATGGCGCCTGGCGAAGGAATTATGGAAGAAAAAAGACAAGACCGGAGCCTGGACCCCAATAAAGATAGAGGACGTACTAGGAGCAGGACTGAGGACGTGGCGGAATGCTAAAAACAAACGGCGACCCTACGCGGAAAGACTATGGAGGATATTAGTGACTGAGTCCGCCTACCTTATATGGAAGCTAAGATGCGAGAGGGTAATAGGCCATGGTGAAGACGAGAACTGGACGCACCCGGCAAGAGCGATCCGGGCAAGATGGGTACACGCTATAAACGAGAGGCTCCGCCTAGACATCGCCATGACGCACCGTCGTTTCGGACGGATGGCCCTAAGCACTGACCTTGTGCTAGGAACCTGGAACGGCACGCTAAGAGATGAAAGCGCGTTCCCCGATGACTGGACACAATGCAACTGGGTTTTAGTGGGTATTGACCCCAAAGACCGCGAACAGCGGGACGCGGGGTAATCGGAGTCCCACACTAGTCACCGATGTGACTGTGCGTAAATGCATTTTCTCCCTGGATAGCACAAGCGGGGAAACCTGCTCGCTGGCTGGGCTCGCGGGGCAGACCCATTGTCTGTTGCTGCGACCCACAAAAAGCCTTCCAAAAAAAAAAAAAAAAAAAAAAAAAAAAAGAGCCCAACGGGATACTATATCGGTCCGGGATCTCGGCCAGGACAGGGAACTCGGTCAGTCGAGCGTAGGCAGTGAAGTTCCCATCTGTTTCGTGTAGTAAGTATACCAGTCGATAGCTGTAATCGAAACAAACACAGCAAGGTGCCTTTTGTCCGAAAAATCCCAGCCGTTCTTGAGCAATGCATGACTGACCGAGTTCCCTGTCCTGGCCGAGATCCCGGACCGATATAGTAGCGTACTTGCTGAACATGCACACAGCAGGGCCGAAAGCGGACCAGATACGAATTCGGGTTCATGTGTTCTGCTATGTAAGAAGCGAGACGGTACGAGGTCACAGCTGGGAGGCCAAAATGTGCGGTCGCTCGTTTGACGATATTCTTGTAGGTAGTACTTTGCGGGAGCGTCAAGAACTTGTGCATGAACGCTGCGGCCAGGGCGTCTCGTTGCTGTGCGAAGAAGCGTCTGCCGGCCGGTGGAAGTGGACGGATCGGGCATACAGTTCACGATAAGTCGTAGCGCGAGAGCAAAACAGTCGGCAGAGCACGACGTGCAGTCTTGATCAGCTTGTGCGTGTTAGGCCTGGCTGACATGGCGTATATGCGTAGAGTTTGGGGTCGTGATGGAAGGATGACGCCGCATAAGTACTGATTATATGCCAAGGAAGTTGTTTCATCGGCATTGCGGATGTCCCAGTAGCTTCCCAGCCAGCGGCAGGACAATGAAAGTACACACGTCAGGGTGAGAGCGAGGAATCGGAGTGTGCAGCGCCTACGGACGGCACTCGCCAAACCCACACGGCCTGATCGACGATGTGGTTCCCTGCCAGGCGTTGACTAGTATGGCCACAGTCCCGATACGCAGCGACTAGCATGTTTCCGTCGAAGGAGGACGCAGATAGGAGACGGCGCACGAGCGTCCACGTTCAGCTGCAGCAGTTCAGCCAGTGCGCTAAACCGTCTAGGTATAGATAGCTCAGCGCGTTGAGCCCGGAGGACGCACACTGAGTCTGAATGGGCGTGGAAGTGGTCGGAAGTCGAGCCGTACACTGCCGTGATGATAGAGCCTCCGGGTTCGATGCCTCGCGGAGGGCTATGGATAGCGCGGCGGCCGCCGGCAGGCAGCAACGCGGAGGGAGGCATGAGAACGCTGAGCGTGCAGAGTCGGCGTGACAGTCAAGCTTCACTGCAAGTTCTTCAGGATCGATGGGTGTGATTGGTGTTGTGCGTGTGCATGTGCTTGTGCTGTGCTGAGTAGTCAATGAGCTCTTGAGTGAGGGGACGCCGCACGAAAGGCAATGCAACTCATGAGATCAAGCTGTTTGTAGTCGGCCAGTCGCCGAGGATACATGGGGCACGGTGTTGAGACCTTGATGTCGCGCGGACCCGCGTTGGTAGTAGAGGGGCACATGGTTAACGTTGCTATGCGGGTTGTGTGAACTGCGCTGTGATGTGAATGGCAGTGCGTACGTTCCCCTATCGAAGGCATCGATTCGACATACGGGGTTTGGTACCGGACGGACATCTATAATCCAGGGAACGCTTTAGCGTCTGCAGGAATAGGCGTCGAGGAAGCCTTTGTTCTGTGATGAGGCAAATACCATTGGCGCACAGTGTGTTCGGTGCGGAGCCGCTGACGGTCGCAGAGGGGACGAGAGATGAGGCTAGCTGAGCGGGTCGCGCGTCGTGTCGCGTTAGGTTGCCACTGTTCGGAGGTGTCGCGCTCGGGGAGACGTTGGCAGACCACAGAACTTCCTAGACGGGCGATCGACTCCGAAGACTCGGGGGCTTCGAACAAGCTTCGAAGCAAACGCCTCATCCACACTAGCGCCACTTGGTGAAGTATGAGACTGGGGGGCAAGTAGAGGCCGAGCAAAGCCTCTCGGAAAGGTTCTGTGGCCTGGTCGGCGGTAGCGTTCGTCCGTCTACTGACGAGACACGGGGGCCTATGATCGCGGACACATGCGAAGGGCTGTTGAGGCCGCCTCGGAAAGATGCGCGGAGGGTATCGTTGAGCGGTCTCACAACTTGAAGGCGGGTAGAAAGCATTGCGCCGGACGCGGCAGGGACACGGACAGCCCAGGAGGCGGCAGGTGACCCCAAGGCCGACATGCACGCGAGCATGTTGCTTGTGAGAGTCTGAGCAAAGTCAGGGAGAGGACGTGCCCTGCGACGATGGCAGAGCCGTCGGGGCCGGTGGGCGGTGCAGCCGCAAGATCAGCAGCAGCTTGAAGGCGGGCAAGGGACGGGGGCTGGAGGAGAAGACTGTCTAAGTCGGAGAAGGACACGGCGGGGCAAAGAGCCCGGCAAAGGGCCGGCTGCCCGGCGCGCGGTGGGTGCCCGATATAGGCAGGGCGTACTTACAAATTGAGGATGGTCTCCCTCTTTGACCGCTCGCCCGCAGCCTACCTGCCTCTCCTTCAGTCTCCTTCTTTCCCCTCCCAGGCGCCCTCGCGTCCCCCCCGCGTCCGCAGCGCGCATCCGACTAGCTCGCTGCTATTTCCGGACGTCCGACTAGGGCCCCGAGGGTGGGTTGCGTCTCGTGTGGCTGGGATCCCAACGCCTCTCTCGCAACCGCTCACCGCCCGTTCTTTATTTTAGCGTTCGCAGCCATGGCTTTCCGTTCTTACGACCCTGTCCCCAATCCCGCTGCCCGCACATCCAACCCCGACTTCGACTTTGAGCTGCACTCGCCCCGCATGGGCACCTTCATGGGCCCTGCCCTCAACGACGAGGCTTCCTCTCTCGACACCCGCCCCTCCTCCGTCACTGACGACTACTCTTCCTCCGTCCGTGCACTCAATCGCCAGTCCCAGGCCGACCCTTCGGCATATGGCCTGCACTATCGCGACGACCCTACCGACGGCGACCTGAGCCTCGGCCAACCGCCAAAGGAGTTCGCCTCTCCGACGTCACCCACCGTCCCCTACGCCAACCTCGCCGAAAAGCGGCGCGATCCTGTTACCCAGTATGCTTCTCCTCGCCAACGCTCGCGCCGCCGTGCCATCCTCATCGTCGGCGCCATTGCCCTCATCATCATCATCGTGGTCGTCGTGGTGGCGGTCACCCTCACCGTCCGTAAGCATTCCGCTTCCTCTTCGTCGAACATCGCCTCCGGCTCCGGCTCCGGCTCGTCCAGCCAGAGTGGCGGCAGCGGTAAGGGCAGCGGCACATCCTCCGCCGTCGTCACCGGCGGCGACGGCAGCACTGTCACCATGTCGGACGGCACGACCTTCACGTACGCGAACAAGTTCGGCGGCTACTGGTACTATGACCCCGAGAATCCTCTCACCAACTACGCGCGCGCGCAATCCTGGACGCCCCCCATGAATGAGACCTTCCAGTATGGCACGGATAATATTCGGGGGTATGTACGGACGCCGCGTCGCGCGCCCACACGAGGTGCTGATTGAGTGCGACCTGTAGTGTTAACCTTGGTGGCTGGCTCGTTCCGGAACCTGTAAGTCACTGCGATGCGCTTCTTCGGACCGTCTTCCTGATGTGATATTCAACCCAGTTCATGCAAGTATCTGTCTACTTATAGGTGAGGAGACACCGTACTAAACGTTGTCGGCATGCAGTGCGCCTGCTCTGTTCGAGCCGTATGTGAACACGTCTTACCCCGCCGTCGATGAATGGACGCTTAGCTACAATCTCATGAACGAGACCTCCAAGGGTGGTCTCGAGGGTGTCATGACTAACCACTATGATACGTTCATCGTAAGTGCGTTGCATGACTGGAAGAAACTTGCCTCATTCCCCTTGTAGACGGAGCAGGACTTCGCTGAGATCGCGGCAGCTGGCCTTAACCATGTCCGTATACCCATTGGTTACTGGGCTATCGAGACGTGGGAAGGCGAGCCGTTCCTCGCCAAGGTTTCCTGGACGTGAGTCTCGCCATTCCCTCTCACCAGATGTATTCTAACAGTCTTGCAGATACTTCCTCAAGGCCATTGAGTGGGCTCGCAAGTATGGTCTCCGCATTAACCTCGACTTCCACGCGCTGCCCGGTAGCCAGAACGGCTGGAATCACTCGGGCAAGCTTGGCTCGATCAACGTCTTGTACGGTCCGATGGGTCTTGCCAACGCGCAACGGTCCTTGGGTTACATCCGGATTCTTGCCGAATTCATCTCACAGCCCGAGTACAGCAACGTCGTAACCATCTTCGGTGTTACTAACGAGCCGATGGGTCCTACGATGGGTCAGGATCAGTTGGCAGCTTAGTGAGTTCACTGCCCTATCACATGTTCGACATCCTGACGTCTATGTAGCTACGTGCAGGCGTACGAGATCATCAGGACCGCGAGCGGCATCGGCGCAGGCAATGGCCCGTATGTCCTCTATCACGACGGATTCTACCAGCTCTCGCAGTGGGTGGGCTTCCTCACCGGTGCGGACCGCATCGCGCTCGACAACCACCCGTACGTCTGCTTCGACGGCCAGTCGTCTGCGCCGTACTCGTCGCGCCTGACCGTGCCCTGCGACACGTGGGGCGCGACGGTCAACACCTCGATGACCGCGTTCGGGCTGACGACTGCAGGCGAGTGGAGCAACGCGATCAACGACTGTGGGTTGTGGGTGAATGGCGTCAATGATGGGAGCCGGTATGAGGGCACCTTTGACGGTACGGCGGTTACGGGCGACTGTGCGCCGTGGATTGATTACCAGGGCTGGAATGAGACGTTCAAGGCGAGCATCGAGGACTGGGCATTGGCCAGCATGAGCTCTCTCCAGGTATGTGGTGTCGCTTACCTGATAGAATGGGCGCCAGTGCTGACCGCCAATGCAGAACTGGTTCTTCTGGACATGGAAGGTTGGCAACTCCTCCGTGA